AGTTGTAAATTTTTGACCCGGTTGAACCGTTTTGACACGGGTGACCCGGTTTACTATAACCCGGTTCTAAACTCTAAATAATATATATATAATGAAAATTAAAATTATGAGGAAGTTGATCTATCTCTAAGATATCTTTTGTATGCACTATACACACGCGCTATTTCGTAAGAAGTCATCCAGCCCTTTGGCCAAAGCGTCAATAGCTTGAAATCAAAAGCAAGAATTTAAGTTACAATCTTATCGTAAAAATAATGTACAATTTTACTTACATCTTGGTATAAACTTTTTCGCATAGTTTGCTCAGAATGTCTCTCGGATTTTTCTTCAGCCTCTCTATTTATGTAGATAATGAATATTTAATTAAATTCTTGTATATCACATCCAATAAGACAATTTGAAAGCATACTTACGCAAGACAATTACTCATTACAACCCAAGCCATTTCTTCTTGAACTATTTGCCACAACAAAAATCTTGTATTTTCATCCCATCGAAATTTCTTGCCATTTGCCGTTTCTTTTGATCTATTGTTATTAGAACTACTATCAGATTTACTGTCAGATTTGATGTCACCATCACCATCAGCATCAACATCAGCATCAGCATCAACATCAACATCAGGCTCAATGTCCGCATCGCCATCAATTTCCATACTGGAGTCTATTTCAATATTGTTATCACCGTTAACTGGTACTGATGATGAAGAAGAAAAAGATGCATTTCGTTCATCGAATTCTTGTAATAAAGAGGGCATGATTTCATCTATTGCAATTTTTAAACGATCAATTAATTCTAACTTTTTTTTTTGTAACTCTATCAAGGCTTTTGGGTATAAAGTTCTTTGACAAAGTCGCTATTATATAAAGAGGATAAACAATTATTAACGAAAATATGATATAAAGTGAAGTTTAGACTAACGAATGGTCTTGCATTTCGCAATACAAACCGTTATTGTGAATTTATTATATGGTAACATGTTGGTTAACACTTTAAAAAGATTTTCGTTGAATTGATTAAGTTCATAAGCCCTCGAAAGCAGTTCCATTAAAGGGGGTTTAAGATTCTGTGGAAATCTGGACTTGACCTCAAAAGATTCTTTGTATTTGCAAAAGATTTCATTTAGTGAATTAATGAAATTCAAGTCAAAAAACAATAAGTAAATTCAACCTTTGTCTACTTGTTGTTTGAAAAGATCTAAAAGATATTGAACATCTGGATGAACAGGATCCTATGTAAATAAAATTACAATAAGAAAAAATAAAATAAATTACAAGAAAATAAAATACATATATTTGAAAAACAATACTTTAATACGTGAGACTTCAGGCTTACCACTGGATAAACTTTTTTCCTTTTTCCCGGAGGTTTATTAGGATCTGATGGATCTCGTTGATGCGCTGATGTATGATTATTACTGCTCGCACCTACAGTGGAAACATCCATATTCTGTGTATTTGAACTAGGATCAATAACATGTAAATTATTCAAGGAATTGATTTCATTGTGGGCTCCTCCATTCACAGATGACGATTCTTGGTTGATATCACCAGCAGTTTTCGACTTCTTTGATACTCTCTTCTTTGGTGCAGCTGCCTTGCCTTTTCCATCACTACCACCTTCTGCTTTTTTGACAGTACGTGCCTTCCTAACTTTTGGTGTACCATCGGCTTCAGAGGATTTTTGCTTACGTTTTGCAGATGCTTTCTTCTTAGGCGTTGGTTCATCTCTAAAAAAATATAAATATAAACGTATTTTAGAATTTAATATGGCAAATATGATAATTTTAATTTGCTTAGCAGAGTCGTTCTAAATAGTGGTACTTACTCATCAACCAATCTTTCTAAAACCAATGGTCCATTCCATACAAAAAACCCTTCGATTTGTGGACGTACTTTCCCGTAATCACGCTGTAATGGAGCCAATTCGCTATCATCTATGAATGGATCATTCACATCGTATTGTTGTTCCTTCTTTATAATTCGTCTTTTTTTTTTACGAGTTTTTTCCTTACATTTATAAAATTTTAACGGAATGTAAAATGTAAACCAATTATGAACATATAATTGCAACTTTTAATTCAAACAGAATACCTCTTCACCCGCAGCATATTTTTCCGCGTTCTCCAAGATTCTTTCAAAGAATTCATCGCTTTCATCACGAAAAGTACGTGGCAAATCAATTGCTGTTGGGGGTGTTGGCGTTCGAAAATCGTCTGGAGTTTCGAAATCTGACCAATCTGATTGCGGTGATTCTGAACCCGGTGATTCTGAGCCTGATATATAACGCGGAGGTGTTTTTGCAATTGTAAAGCCAGCTTCCTTTAATAGATCAGGAAAGTATACTATGTTGTTATATCGACTCGTCAAAGGAATATCAAGTCGAATTTCGGGTTGTTTCTCTGGTATTTTGGGTTCATTCTTTTCAACAGGTTCACGATTTTGGTGTTTTGACGCTGTCGAAGTCTGCTGGATTTCTAACGTGCTAATACTCTCGGCTAACTCTGTAGCATTACTGGCTTCAGCATTTTCTGTAGTGTCGTCTTTATTAATGGTTACTTCCATTGGAATGACATAAAGTGGTAAAAACTTGTGCACTCTTTACGTCAATTTTACAGTTTTAGTGTCACGATCAGCAAATTACATAATCTTTTTTTATTTTGAGATAAACAAACTTTTAATATCAATATAACGTACATAACAGATAATGGTTGAAGTTCAAGAGGTATTTATGAAATTTCCAGCTAACTAATAGTTTGTAAAACTAACAATATAAATATTAAGGTACCTGAAGACCATGAAGACGATTTGTCTGAACCTTCAGACGATAACGATAACGATTCAACTAGTTCTTTTGACTCGGGTTCTTCTGAAGAACCTGAATCTCTTACAGAACGATTAGCAGCCTTACGCGATATTGTACCAGAAGAGACGCGTGAATCGATAACAAATAATGTTTCAACTTTAGTGGGATTTTGCTTGAAAACTGCACGATTTCTGGGAAATGCATTTTGGGTTTTAACTACTTCCGCCACAATTTTGGTTATACCTTTAGCGCTGGAACTTGAAAAAGAGCACCAAATTATCCAACTTGAAAATGAACAAAAAGCCTTAGTAATTAATCAATTTATTAGTATTTATAGTTTCTTTTTTAAAGCCAAAATCTTTGTCTTAACAATGTTTAAATGTTTATTTTAGATGAGTGGTCAATCTAGCAACTCTTATGGACAACCGGCCCAAATTAGTCCTTTTGGAGCACCGGGGCAACCCCAACAACAACAGCGAGTGATGCCTCCCGGATTTAACTAGCCAGAAAGTCCTCTCAATTTCCTTATTTCTTCCAATTAAAAAATGAACAAATTTTCTATTTCAACGTCTTGTCATTAAATAGCATTGTTGGCATTGTTAATTGAATTAAATGTTATTAACACAATTAAATACGATCTTGGTAATTGAAATTCGTTATTACAGTATTTCGTACAAGTGTTCACATATTCGAATAATTTGAATTTAAATACAATCTTCAAGATTGACAACAGAAATCCGAGTTGTATGCTCTCTTAAGAACATCCTTGAATTAGGAGTCTACATACTGCATAAGTTGCATTCTTGATATCGATATAACCTACTCCCATAATTGCATCAAAAAGCTAACTCTAACCCTCACTCCGCTTTAACCGTTGAATTATAAATTTTGATCGTGATTACCCGTGATAATTAAGCAATCAGATTACATTTACATAATTTAAAATGTTGAATTTCAAAATCGCATCCGTGTGGACATTTGAGAATTTCTATTTTATTTTTATAATAGATTTTTTAAATTTTTATTATGTTATTTATTTTTTATTTATTTTTTATTCTTTTTTTTTATTCTTTACAATTTATTCTATTTGATAAATAAATTTAGGATCATTTTTACAATTTATTCTATATATTTGATAGAAAAAATGTGCTTGTCACCGGCGGTGACAGTAACCGGATTTGGGTTAGGGTTGGATTTAGAGTTAGAAGTAAGTTTATTATTTAGTAAAATGCCCCAAGAAACATTTTTTGTTAGAACACAAATGGTAGTTTCATAGGCATAATTTTGAGTTATTGCGATTTGTAATTTTACGAATTTTCTTGTTATAACTAATCTTGCAATCTGATTGGCTTGGAGCTGTCACCGCTGATTACAAATAGATTCGCCCTTATTTTTAAATAAATTACACAAATTTTGTTTTACGTTGATCATATTGATCACGTTAATCACGTTGATCACGTTGATCACGTTGATCACCTAACTGTCACATCAGGTGATACCTTATTTGTCACACCCTTTTATATATCACACCCCTTATTTGTCACATTCTCTTATTCATCACACTCTTATTCATCACATCCTCATATTTATTCTGCTATCATGCCTACTTTAATATCTCAAGAACCAGATTCCTATGATATTGACTATTACTATTCCAAATACCAAAACCGTTTTGGTGTTGGGATGCATGAAGACAAACCTCAATCTCTTCGTGTTTTACCGTCTGACGTACGACTTACTGCATGTGAAGTACTTAAAAAACAACAACACTATTTTGTAGTTTTTCAACAACCTATTATTGCTATATGTCTTTATAGCAAATACCATACTAGCTTTATGTCTCGATATTACAAAATCAATCATCAAACAACACTTGGTCAATCATCTGCTACAACTGTAGCTACTATCTCTACTAAACGTTTCAGCCTTATTACAGATGAACTCCCATCTTCTCCAATTCCTAAAAAACTTCAACAAGAATCAGATCCTCCAAATCCACG